CTCCACGCCCCCCCGGCTCCCTCCACGCCCCCCCCGGGCTCCCTCCACGCCCCCGGCTCCCTCCCTCACGCCCCGGCGGCTCCCTCCACCCCCCGGCTCCCTCCACGCCCCCCCCCGGCTCCCTCCACGCCCCCCGGCTCCCTCCACGCCCCCCCCGGCTCCCTCCACGCCCACCGGCTCCCTCCACGCCCCCCCGGCTCCTCCTCCACGCCCCCGGCTCCCTCCACGCCCCCGGCTCCTCCCGCCCCCCGGCTCCCTCCACGCCCCCGGCTCCCTCCACGCCCCGGCTCCCTCCACGCCCCGCCTCCCCCACGCCTCGGCTCACCACGCCCCGGCTCCCTCCACGCCCCCCGGCTCCCTCCACGCCCCCGGCTCCCTCCACGCCCCCCCGGCTCCCTCCACGCCCCCTCCCTCCACGCCCCCCCGGCTCCCTCCATGCCCCCCGCTCCCTCCACGCCCCCGGCTCCCTCCACGCCCCCGGCTCCTCCATCCGGCTCCCTCCACGCCCCCCCCCACGGCTCCCCCCGGCTCCATCCCCCCCCGGCTCCCTCCACGCCCCCCCCGGCTCCCTCCACGCCCCCGGCTCCCTCCACGCCCCCCCACGGCTCCCTCCACGCCCCGGCCCCGGCTCCCTCCACGCCCCCCCCGGCTCCCTCCACGCCCCCCCGGCTCCCCTCCACGCCCCCCACGGCTCCTCCACGCCCCCGGCTCCCTCCACGCTCCCCCGGCTCCCTCCACGCCCCCGGCTCCCTCCACGCCCCCGGCTCCCTCCACGCCCCCCCCGGCTCCCTCCACGCCCCCGGCTCCCTCCACGCCCCCGGCTCCTCCACGCCCCCGGCCCGGCTCCCTCCACGCCCCCTGGCTCCCTCCACGCCCCCCGGCTCCCTCCACGCCCCCCCGGGCTCCCTCCGCCGACCCCCGGCTCTCTCCACGCCCCTGGCTCCCTCCACGCCCCTGGCTCCCTCCACGCCCCCGGCTCCGTCCACGCCCCCCCGGCTCCCTCCACGCCCCCCGGCTCCCTCCACGCCCCCGGCTCCCTCCACGCCCCCCCCGGCTCCCTCCACGCCCCCGGCTCCCTCCACGCCCCCCGGCTCCCTCCACGCCCCCGGCTCCCTCCACGCCCCCCCGGCTCCCTCCACGCCCCCCGGCTCCCTCCACGCCCCCGGCTCCCTCCACGCCCCCCCGGCTCCCTCCACGCCTCCGGCTCCCTCACGCCCCCGGCTCCCTCCACGCCCCCCCCGGCTCCCTCCACGCCCCCGGCTCCCTCCACGCCCCGGCTCTCTCCACGCCCCCGGCTCCCTCCACGCCCCCGGCTCCCTCCACGCCCCTGGCTCCCTCCACGCCCCCGGCTCCCTCCACGCCCCCCCGGCTCCCTCCACGCCCCGGCTCCCTCCACGCCCCCTGGCTCCCTCCACGCTCCCCCCCGGCTCCCCCCCCCCCCCCCCCTACGATCAGTTGCGGATCAGATTTAAGGGATCCTTTTCCTCTCTTTTTGGAGATTCTGAAGAAGATTCGAAATTGAAGTTTGATGCTTGTTCGCGATCACTGGAGGACGGGCTCGCCTTTTATTGTATTTTCTTGTATGGAGGCTTGAGGGTAGACCTGGTGTGAGAGCTCTCAGACGTCCTTGTTTCACTTGTTACACCAGGTCACAACCAATGATATTATATATATTTAATGTCAGTCACATCCATTTTTTAAACTAATATATGAATTATTTAACCCCTGCCTAGTCTCGGGAATTTTCCTGCGCGGGCGCATATATATATATATATATATTATATATATATATATATATATATATATATATATATATATATATATATATATATATATATATATATATATAATATATATAATATGTGCCTCTGGCTTTGGTGCACTATGTGGTATATACTGACTTGTCTTGGGGCGCCGGGATGTGTGTTGATGGTGTAAGTGTTGTCTTGAGTTATAGTACATCTAATGTGTGTGTACTCACCTAATTGTACTCACCTAATTGTGCTTGCGGGGGTTGAGCTCTGGCTCTATGGTCCCGCCTCTCAACCGTCACTCAACAGGTGTACAGGTTCCTGAGCCTATTGGGCTCTATCATATCTACACTTGAAACTGTGTATGGAGTCAGCCTCCACCACATCACTGCCTAATGCATTCCATTTGTCAACCACTCTGACATTAAAAAAGTTCTTTCTAATATCTCTGTGGCTCATTTGGGCACTCAGTTTCCACCTGTGTCCCCTAGTGCGTGTGCCCCTTGTGTTAAATAGCCTGTCTTTATCTACCCTATCAATTCCCTTGAGAATCTTGAATGTGGTGATCATGTCCCCCCTAACTCTTTTCTGTTTTCCAGCGAAGTGAGGTTTAATTCCCGTAGTCTCTCCTCGTAGCTCATACCTCTCAGCTCGGGTACTAGTCTGGTGGCAAACCTTTGAACCTTTTCCAGTTTAGTCTTATCCTTGACTAGATATGGACTCCATGCTGGGGCTGCATACTCCAGGATTGGCCTGACATATGTGGTATACAAAGTTCTGAAGAATTCTTTACACAAGTTTCTGAATGCCGTTCGTATGTTGGCCAGCCTGGCATATGCCGCTGATGTTATCCGCTTGATATGTGCTGCAGGAGACAGGTCTGGCGTGATGTCAACCCCGAAGACATTTCTCTCTCTGACTCTTGAAGAATTTCATCTCCCAGATGATACCTTGTATCCGGCATTCTGCTCCCTACGCGTATCTTCATTACATTACATTTGCTTGGGTTAAACTCTAACAACCAATTGTTTGATCATTCCTTCAGCTTGTCCAGGTCTTCTTGAAGCCTCAAGCAGTCCTCCTCTGTCTTAATCCTTCTCATAATTCTCAGTGTGTGTGTGTGTGTGTGTGTGTGTGTGTGTGTGTGTGTGTGTGTGTGTGTGTGTGTGTGTGTGTGTGTGTGTGTGTGTGTGGGACTCTGTATGGTGTTAGGTAATGGGATCCCGGGAGCATTTCTCCACAGGGCTGAATCCCTTTCCACCTTGCTTCTGTGCTACGTCTCTTTTAATCTGTCTATTTCTGCACCTTAACGTCATTATCCAACCTCTCTCTCTCTCTCTCTCTCTCTCTCTCTCTCTCTCTCTCTCTCTCTCTCTCTCTCTCTCTCTCTCTCTCTCTCTCTCTCTCTCTCTCTCTCTCTCTCTCTCTCTCTCTCTCTCTCTCTCTCTCTCTCTCTCTCTCTCTCCCTCCCTCTCTCTCTCTCTCCTCCCTCCCTCCCTCCCTCCCTCCCACCCATCCCTCCCTCCCTCCCTCCCTCCCTCCCATCCTTCCTCACAACCTAACCAATAATTTTCCTGTTCGCCACAACACAATGCTACTCCCTTGCAATTTGCAACACTCATATTTTGACATAAAACATTGCAAACAAATGATTCCCTTCGAACAGAATTATTTGTTTCCAAAAATGACTTCACGAACTCGAGTCGTATTCAAAAACATAGAAGAAATTACGATGGAAATATCGAATGTAAATTTAAAATAAATGTTTGTGTAAATGACATTGAAAAGCACCTTTGGAACATGTGTATTTCCGGTAATTACGGCAATGGAATTTTGCCTAATTAGCGGAAATATTATCTCCTACCACCATGGGTATCGAACCACAAGATCCTGAACTGTGTGAGTCGAGAACGTAGCCCACTGTACTAACGAGACCCTTCTTGGCTAAATTATATATAAGACTATACATCACCACATACCCTGGGCCACATCAACACATACCCTCGGGTTACATCACCACATACCCTAGGGTTACATCACCACATACCCTCGGGGCCACATCACCACATACCTTGGGCCACATCACCACATACCCTCTGGGCCACATCACCACATACCCTCTGGGCCACATCAACACATACCCTCTGGGCCACATCAACACATACCCTCTGGGCCACATCAACACATACCCTCGGGGCCACATCACCACATACTCTTGGGTCACATCACCACATACCCTCGGGGTCACATCAACACATACCCTCGGGGCCACATCAACACATACCCTCGGGCCACATCAACACATACCCTCGGGCCACATCAACACATACCCTCGGGCTACATCACCACATACCCTCGGGCCACATCACCATATACCCTGGGCCACATCAACACATACCCTCGGGCCACATCAACACATACCCTCGGGGCCACATCACCACATACCCTCGGGCCACATCACCACATACCCTCGGGGCCACATCAACACATACCCTCGGGCCACATCAACACATATCCTCGGGCTACATCACCAAATACCCTCGGGCCACATCACCACATACCCTCGGGGCCACATCAAAACATACCTCGGGGCCACATCACATATACCCTCGGGCCACATCAACACATACCCTCGGGGCCACATCATCACATACCCTCGGGGCCACATCAACACATACCCTCGGGCCACATCAACACATACCCTAGGGCCACATCAACACATACCCTCGGGCCACATCACCACATACCCTCGGGCCACATCACCATATACCCTGGGCCACATCACCACATACCCTCGGGGCCACATCACCATATACCCTGGGACATCACACATACCCTCGGGCCACATCAACACATACCCTCGGGCCACATCAACACATACCCTCGGGCCACATCACCACATACCCTCGGGCCACATCACCATATACCCTGGGCCACATCAACACATACCCTCGGGGCCACATCAACACATACCCTCGGGCCACATCAACACATACCCTCGGGCCACATAACCACATACCCTCGGGCCACATCACCATATACCCTGGGCCACATCAACACATACCCTCGGGGCCACATCACCATATACCCTGGGCTACATCACCACATACCCTCGGGCCACATCAACACATACCCTCGGGCCACATCAACACATACCCTCGGGCCACATCACCACATACCCTCGGGCCACATCACCATATACCCTGGGCCACATCAACACATACCCTCGGGCCACATCACCACATACCCTGGGGCCACATCAATACATACTCTCGGGCCACATCACCACATACCCTGGGCCACATCACCACATACCCTCGGGTTACATCACCACATACCCTAGGGTTACATCACCACATACCCTCTGGGCCACATCACCACATACCTTGGGCCACATCACCACATACCCTCTGGGCCACATCACCACATACCCTCTGGGCCACATCAACACATACCCTCTGGGCCACATCAACACATACCCTCTGGGCCACATCAACACATACCCTCGGGGCCACATCACCACATACACTTGGGTCACATCACCACATACCCTCGGGGCCACATCAACACATACCCTCGGGGCCACATCAACACATACCCTCGGGCCACATCAACACATACCCTCGGGCCACATCAACACATACCCTCGGGCTACATCACCACATACCCTCGGGCCACATCACCATATACCCTGGGCCACATCAACACATACCCTCGGGCCACATCAACACATACCCTCGGGGCCACATCACCACATACCCTCGGGCCACATCACCACATACCCTCGGGGCCACATCAAACACATACCTCGGGCCACATCAACACATATCCTCGGGCTACATCACCACATACCCTCGGGCCACATCACCACATACCCTCGGGGCCACATCAACACATACCCTCGGGGCCACATCACCATATACCCTCGGGCCACATCAACACATACCCTCGGGGCCACATCACCACATACCCTCGGGGCCACATCAACACATACCCTCGGGCCACATCAACACATACCCTAGGGCCACATCAACACATACCCTCGGGCCACATCACCACATACCCTCGGGCCACATCACCATATACCCTGGGCCACATCAACACATACCCTCGGGGCCACATCACCATATACCCTGGGCTACATCACCACATACCCTCGGGCCACATCAACACATACCCTCGGGCCACATCAACACATACCCTCGGGCCACATCACCACATACCCTCGGGCCACATCACCATATACCCTGGGCCACATCAAACACATACCCTCGGGGCCACATCAACACATACCTCGGGCCACATCAACACATACCCTCGGGCCACATACCACATACCCTCGGGGCCACATCAACACATACCCTCGGGGCCACATCACCATTACCCTGGGCCACATCACCACATACCCTCGGGCCACATCACCACATACCCTCGGGGCCACATCAAACATACCCTCGGGCCACATCACCACATACCCTCGGGCCACATCACCACATACCCTCGGGCCACATCAACACATACCCTCGGGCCACATCAACACATACCCTCGGGCCACATCACCACATACCCTCGGGCCACATCAACACATACCCTCGGGCCACATCACCACATACCCTCGGGGCCACATCAACACATACCCTCGGGCCACATCACCACATACCCTCGGGGCCACATCAACACATACCCTCGGGCCACATCACACATACCTCGGGGCCACATCACCACATACCCTTGGGGCCACATCACCACATACCCTCGGGGCCACATCACCACATACCCTCGGGGCCACATCAACACATACCCTCGGGCCACATCACCACATACCCTCGGGGCCACATCACCACATACCCTGGGGCCACA